ACCACCATTATGTTTGTCTCTTCAACAAGAGAGGCAAAGAATTTTGAAGAAAACCAGAAGAAAGTCGAAAACAAATTTTGAAATTAAATGCTCAAATCAAGATGAAAATGGAATCTAAAAGAAGCATGAGCTTCAGAAGATCAAGGACTACGTTGTGGTAAAAAGTTTGAAACAAATGGTGATATGTGTTAGATCAAGAAAGCTTGTAAGCAATTCTTTGTTTTGATGATAACAACCATATATTTTGTGAGTAATAATTTAGTGCTACTAATGGTTTCATTGAGTGTGCAGATATAATAACAAGAAATATTCTATAAAAGAGCATGTGCAAATATAGCTCAGAAAGCTGAAGATACAAGAATCAGAAAGCTTATACAACTGAAGTTATCTTTCAAGATAAATTGCTTCCTATACATCTGAGAACGTGATCGTCCATCAAAAAGATTCTAAGAGCTTGCATAAATATAGCTCAAAAAGCTGAAGATACAAGAATCAGAAAGCTTCTACAACTAAAGTTCTCTTTCAAGATAAGTTGTTGCCTATACATCTGAAGACGTGATCATCCATCAGAGAGATTCTAAGAGCTCACATAAATATAGCTCAGGAAGTTGAAGATACAAGAATCAACTAAAGTTGTCCTTCCGATAAGTTGATTCCTAAAGTTCTAAAAAAAGATGTGTTCCTAAAGCTCAATCTAGTGTCTCTATGTTGTATCAAATCAGTAGTTTCTAAACTACCCATCAGAAGAACAAGACAATCAATAAGTCTCAAGCTCAGCACTTCAGAAACAGAAACCACATCTTTTGGAGAATAAAGTTTTACAAAAACAAGTTAAACAAAGATCAGAAAAATCTAGATACATCTTCAGTAATGCTCTAATCAAAACTGACACATGATCATAATTTTTTAGGAGAAAAATGATGGAAAATTCTCATCTATATCTTGGATAAACAAAAAGAAGAAAGCACACCTCCTACACAGTAATCATTACAAAAGAAGATTTGCATTGAAAACATATCCAATTATAATATACACACTACAACACATTATGTGCTCCAACGATACTATTCTCTCAAGCCTATATAAAGCAACTTTAAATACATGTGGAAAGCGTGAAATACGGTGTGTAGCTGAGCAACACCAAAAATTTCACAAGCACAAAGTAATATTAATTAAAATGCAATGTTTACACTGAGTTGTTGCTCTATGGTATAATATTTCATTAAGCATATCAAAGTACTAACTGGTTACTAAGAAGAAACATGTTTATCACAACTTAGTTCTAAAAAGGGTTATAAATCTTACAAGAAAAACATCACACCAACAAAAAGAATGAAGGATCAACAAGCATAAGAAACATGAGTCGATACTCGTGTCTTGATCTTTGAAGAAAAGAAGCTAAAGATCTCAAAAAGATGTCATTCATAATATAAATCAAAACGCATCTCAAGAGAAACCAGAAAAGAAGAAAGAAGTTATTTGTTTAGCTTGATTAACCAAGAAAATGAAGATAAGAAGACTACAAGATATTTTTCACTTAATCTCAATAACATTCAATCTTGTAGAAACATACAAAACACAAGAGTCGTTGCTCTTATTATGTTATCTCTTAGAAACCTTCATGTAAACTGTTTTAGACAAGGATTTGTTTCTCAAAAACATGTCAAAACAATATGTACTCTAAGTAGGAGAAATATGCTTTATAAGAAGTTGCTCTAGACTGGCCCAAAAGCTTGAGTAGGCCCAGTCTAAGACATCTCATAGGTGCCACCCACTGACCGCGACCCGGACTGCCCGCACCTGTCGAGCAATGTCACCCTCTTGCCCTTCTAGTCCAGCCCCAATCCAAGATGCTTGTGGAGCGTCTTCTCAGGCTGCCTGACACCAGTGTCGTGCAGGCCACCAGGGACCGACCAGAGAGATGCCCGCAACCAGCCTCCTCCCTGAACCAACGGCTAGTTATGAGCACATTTGCCCAGTTTGACCAAGTCCTGGCAGTTACCTGATTTTCCAGACCCGTATATCTAGGCGGGAAATTAGGAACCAATGGCCATGCGCCAGTGGCATTATATAAACCCTCACACCTATGAGGGCCAGGTATCACATATTTACTACTCACTACTTGATATTTTGCTAGTACCTTCTTGCTCCGACTCTTACTTGATCGTTGGAGTACCTTGTAAGTACAACCCCCTCTCTCCTAAGCCCGAATGAAGATCATCCCCCGGCCACTCTCTAGGTTCTGATCAACCGCAAGATCAGTGGCGCTTTCTGATCAACCATTGGTCATTTTGCTTTGAATATTACATAAACGGGAAATAGCCCGGGAAATAACAAATATTACAAAAACCAACACATAGGTCGAAACAAATACACAATCACCCCTCCACTTCTCCTTCGACGACAGGCGACAATCGAGCGGGATAAGAAGCACTCTAATATGGATATGCATACAAGCTTTCCAATAACCATAGTTTTCATGGGTGAAGATGGGCGCTCTATTTTACGCCTCTTTAGGTTCGGAAGCCATAATCTAATAAGCATTTTTGAAGCACAAAATGAAACAGAGCTCGTAATACCACTTGTTATATGAAAGAAACTTATCTATAGGGGGTGAATAGATCCCAATTTAAAATTTTATTTTAAAATATTAGTAATAAAGCTTTGTTAACTATGGCAAGCGGAAAAAAATCCTGGATAGAAAATGTCGCCTAATCCGAATCGTTATCGGAAAACCTGGATATGCATAAAACCAATATGAGATTCAATGAAAGTGATAGGACACTAAGCCAATATAATTTCAAATTTTCACATTTGAATAAACCACACTATTTCAATTAAATTCCAATGAAATAATCGGAAAAAATCAACTAAGGAAATTTGTAAAACACTTGGTGTGCAATCGTTTGAAAATAGATTTTTCTATAGTTTTTTTTATATGTAAATCCAATTACAATCACAAAGATTATAATAAAGTCAACAAAATAGTTTGTAATATTAAATAGAAAGTTTATCACAATATATCGATTACACCATAGAAGTTTTCCCAATTTGTAATTAAACGTAAAATAGAGAATGAAATAGAAAGAGAGAGACACAAGGATCTGTTTAGGAAGTTCCCTAATCGGCCTCATTATGGGTACGTCTGCCCCCAATTCTGTTTGAAATTGAGATAATGAAAATTAACCTTTTCAAAATTTTGATTACAAGAGTACAAGTAGAAATCCAACAATCCAAACCCTAGGTATAATGTTGATCCTTTCTTCTTCTCTTCCCTTGATCTTTAGCTCGATCAAGTGAACCCGATACTTCCAATTTGATCCTCCGTCTCACGCTACTCCTTTACAAGAAACCATGTTCTTCAAAGACTTCACCTGGTTGAATCCAAATTTTGATTGTATCGTGACCCAAGATTTACCAAAGTGATCCTCTGTCTCACGCTACTCCTTCGACTGAACCCACCATTCTTTGAAGCTTTCACTCGACTGAATCCAAATTGCATAATCTTGTCTAAAACATTAAAATCACAAATGACATTGAAGTAAAACCCCAACTTTTTTTTCTTATTTGAAAGCCCCAAAGAATCTCAAACCAATTTATAATTAAACAACCTAAATTGCATGTTATCAACTCTGATTCTAGATGGCACCCAAACAAAGAATGATTATGTGTAATTTGTTTGTGTGTATACATATAATAAGAGAGTTTAAAGATGAAGAGCAATAATTTGTATGTTTATTGTGTCATCAAGTTTCAAATGATGCATGTATGAGGTGTATATATATGTGCATGAAAGTTGGAGGCAAAAAGAAAACAAGAGGATTAGAAAAGAATGCAAATTTTTAAGATTTTTTATGCATGTGTTGACTCATACAAGTCATGTGTAGATACCTTTGAAGCATGAGTCGACATGTATAGGTCAGTGTGTCGACACATGCATTACAAAGGCTACAAACTTTAAAAATGAACTACATGTGTCGACTCAAAATTTTTATGTGTCAACTCATAGAAAAAAATTTCTTCTAAGTGTCGACATGAAAGACATTATATGTCGATATCTTCAACTAGAAGCCACATGCTTTAAAAATGATCCACATGTGTTGACTCATATCAAGTATATTTCGACATATAAATCTGTTTTTTTTCATATAAAAACTTGTTTTTAATGCATGAAATCTTTTATACACCATTCCTAAGTTTCCTAATACTAAGATGCACATTTAGACTCAAAGAATAACATCCAATATGCATAAATGATAAAATGTCCTAGTTTTGACATCATATAAAACATCTCTAATAGGAAGGTGCACTCACAATTATGTGATGAATAACAGTGTTGTCAAGGAACAACAGGCGGTGTTTGAAAAGCCTAGTGTTGGGATGATGTATCATCTAAAGCCTTTGTTTATCAGAGCAAAAGGTAGACGGTATGGTTATGAACAAAGTGTTTGTCGATAGAGATGCTTCTGTGAACTTAATATCATAATCTTTGTTGAGAAAGATTGGGAAATTCAACACAGACCTTAGGACACACAATATGCTCTTGTCGAACTACGAAGGGAAGACCAGTCACATTATTAGGGTGATAAAAGTGGATTTATCAGTTGGCCCTACTACAAGGTCAACATTGTTTATGATGATAGCATCCAATGTGAATTACAACTTACTACTGGGACGTGAGTGAATCCATTGGATAGGTGCAGTACCTTTGACCTTGCACCAAATAATATCAATATGGTGCCTAGCTGGAATTGTAGAGAACATCCAAGTATACCAGAGTTACTTTACAGCCGAGGTTAGCACATTTAACAAGAAATTTTTTGATTGAGATTGGGCCAAAATTCTGCCTTGCTATCCAATAGAGTTGACCTATACCTCTCATAAGGATGTGATGTACTATTTAAACTTACATCCAACACATGGTTTCATATGGGACCAAGAGAGAATGGGAAACCCTCATGTTGAAAAGGGAAGCATAACACCCACTGGGTGGGGAGACAATGACGATGATGCCTGAGTCAGATGCTCTGGTAAGGATTTTCGGCCAATAGGGCCGAAAATAGATTAAATCAGGCCTGTGAGGCTGAGGAATTTGGAGAATATGGCACCCAAAACCTGAAAATTCTTACAGGGTCAACTTCATAAAATGAAATAAATTTTATTTATTAAATTAAATTTATACGTGTCAGTGTTTTACCAATTTAGGATTTGTTCTACTTTGGAATATTTGACACACTGTACTATGGTTGTAGCTTTGTTTATCATTCCTTTAGTTTTTTCCTTTTATCGTACTTGTTTGTCTTATACCACAAGGAATAGGAGTAATAACTGGAAATTGATCCACAATTTTTTCTTTTGATAAAAGTTGATACTATTATCTTGACTAAAACGTTGATAACGACTTAACTTTACTGTAGTGGCTGATTGATATGCTAATTCTAATTAGAATTATTGTTTTAAAAGAATCTTTGCGACATGAAAAGCTGTAAAAATATAACACTTGGCTAAATGCATGGACCATGATAATGCAATCTTCACATGCGTCATTTACGTTACGTCATGATAATGATATGTTATCACCTCAGTTATATAAGTGCTTTAATTTTAAGTCACGACTTTTGTGTAAGTACTTTTAATTTGATAATTTGATTAGATACTTGGTCGTGCTTTGGAAGGAAAGGTGACTCGGTCACCAACTGGCTGGGACCTTGGTGTCAGAAAAATAACACTGTCATCTTCCTTACCATCACCTTTGTCTTCTCTTCAACTTCCTTCAAGGCTCTCCATTATTGAGTGTCACCGGGATGAGGTTTGTACAATTATTTATTAGTTCTATATGTTTAATTAATTAGATTATCATGTATAAGTCTGATATTGTTTAGTATATCATAATAACACAAGATAATTTAATCTATTATTAGATTCGAGAGCTACCTGCCAAGGCTGAAGTGACTGCCAAGTCAGATAAGACTGGAATTGAGATGTTTAGATATGGAGATCATATAATGGGAATTCAAGGTCACCCTGAGTATTCTAAAGACATTCTTAATACCTGCGATCTGATTTAGTCTTGATTGTGCTGTACTGTAAAACAGGGATTGTAATGATACTGTACTATAATTAGACAGCCATGATTTAGTATTTCCCTTTCTGAATTTGATTCAATTTGTGTAATTTTAGATTTTAGTTATGCTAAAAGATTTGATTTAAAACGTGATTTATACAGTAAATGTTAATCAATTGGACTGTGCGCTTCTTTTGGTTAATTGATCTTCATAGTATCTATTTAATAGGCCTTTGTGCAGTTGGTCTTTGAACTGGGCCAGCGCCATTATTATTAACTCAAGCATGTTACAAACATTTTGATTCAATTGGGCCTAAATGATTTTTTACCTGCAACTATCCAATTAATAAAATAATAAAATAGAACTTGAAAAATAGATATTCTTTTCTTTTTCCTAAACAACAACGCCCTATTCTTAACATAATGGGCCTTGCACTATTTATTCAGCCTGTAACAATTTTTCCTATTCTATCGGGCTTATGCCCTATCCTATAACAATGTATTTTCTTTTTTAATAACTAAACATTACTGTAAAAGCAAAATAACATTACCCAATATTATCTTAAAATAAACAAACAGTTTCCTCCTCTAATAACTAGATGGGTCTTATATTGATAAACACATCCTTGTTTGGATAATAAAATGGGAATGGGCCAATTACAAAAGCTTAATGTGTTCAGTTAATTTGAAGTCGCACCCCCATTTTTACTAACAATAATAGTCCCTAACCAGGTTATACTATAAGAACTTAATTATTATTCTCTTGAATTAATCTTCCATTGTCGAATCGTATGGGCCATTGGCCAACATGCTTCGCGAATGGGTTTATGAGCCTTTCTGATTTAGAAATCCCCACTCTCATGAATTAAAATAATCCCCTAGTTGGATAAAGACGGGCCATCAGATATTGTTGTACCGTCTTTAATTAAATATTTCTTCTATTTTTCTTTCAAAAAATAAAATCGTCGCGGTAGGACAAGTTTGGGGTATGACAGGCAACATGTTATCTCCAGAGGATGAAAATGGCGTCGAAAGGGCCATTTACCACCTCAGTCGAATTCTGAATGACGTTGAGACTAGATATAATGTTATAGAAAAGTCATGTATTTGCTTATACTTTTCTTGTACAAAACTTAAGCATTATATGAAACCAGTTTAAGTTTCTGTTTATTTTCACTTTGATGTTATTAAACATATGTTATCCAAAACAATATTACACAATTGAATTGAGAAATAGGTATTATCCCTAACTAATTATTCACTCATATATGCCCCATTAAAGGTTGTAAAAGGTCAGATTGTTGCAAATTTATTATCGACCATTCATTGGTCGAAGCAACAAAAAACTATGTACATGTAAGACCTTGGCGATTGTACTTTGACGTTTCAAGACATAAGAATGGAAATGGAGTTGGTATTCCTATCATTTGTTCAGAGGATATCCCTAGCAAGTTCAAATTCAGGACCAAAGGTGAATGTTCTAACAATGAGGCTGAATGTGAAGCCCTAATAACAGGACTCCATATTCTATTGAATTTGGGGGGAAAAGATGTTAAAGTGAAAGGCGATTCTGAAGTGGTGGTGCGATAGGTAAATAGAGAATATAAGTGAATCAAAGACAATTTAATGATGTATTTCGTTGCAACTATTTCTCTATTGAAACTTTTCGATCATGTTTCGGTAAGCCATGTACCTCGACTGGAGAATTAAGAGGCTAATGATTTGTCCCAGATTGCTTCAGGTTATAAAATTTCTAAAGATAAATTAGAGGAATTGGTTGAAGTCAAAGACAAGTTAATCTCGACTGACTATCCTCCAGAAACAACGTCAATGTCAAAACTTGGGGGGCAGGATTAGATGAATTAGAATTCACTCCAGACTTAATAAATTAAGATATTTTGGAAAATTTTAAGTCTTAGAAATTTTATCCATTGGCGCAATGTCGGATAATGATTGGCGAAAACCCATAGTCGAATATTTGGAAAATCCAACCGGATTGAGAAATTGAAATGTTAAATACAAAGCCCTAAGTTACATGATAATGGGAAATTAGTTATTTAAGAAAACTCTCGAGGGTATCCTTCTTAAGTGCCTTGGCGAAAGCAAAATATATTTAGCAGCTTCTGAGGTACACATAAGATCATGTGGTTCTCATCAAGAAATCCAAAAAATGAGATGGTTGTTGTTTCAACATGGATTTTACTGGCAGACTATGTTGAAATATTGCATAGATTTCACCAAAGGATGTCAAGAATGCCAAAAGCATTCAGGTATCTAACATGTGCCAGTAAGTGAACTGCACTACATTATTATGCCATGGCCTTTTAGGTGATGGGAATTGGATATAATATGTGAAATTAAGCCTTCATCGTCAAAAGGACATATATACATATTGGTTAGAATCAATTACTTCACAAAGTGGATAGAAGCGGTTGTTGTACCTGATGTTAACAAAGAAGAAGTGATAGGGTTCATTCAAATTAATGGCCAAGTCGAAGCGGCTAATAGAATTATAATTGGATTGGTTAAAAAGCATATTGGTCAAAAATAAAAAAATTGGCATAAAATGTTAATCCAAGTACTTTGGACATGTCTAAATTCTCCTAAAGAGTAGACATACTCCATACTTTTTAGACTGACTTATGGGCACGGTGTAGTACTTCCTTTGGAGATACATAACAATCAGTTAGGATTCAAAGGCAGTCTGAAATTCCAAGTGAATATTGTTGGGGGATGATGTTTGACGAGTTAGTTGTCTTAGACGAAGATAGATTGGCTGCTTTAGATGTTTTAATTCGACAGAAAGAGCGAGTGGCCAAAGCATATAATAAAAAAGTTAAATAAAAAACCTTTATTCCAATGGACTTAGTGTGGAAATTTATCTTTCCTATGGACAAGAAGGATCGAACCCTGGGTAAATGGTCCCTGAATTTGGAAGGACCTTTTCGAATTTTACAAACATTTACTAATCATGCTTATGAGCTCGAATAATTAACCCTTGAAGGTTGAATCTTGTGAATAAATGGTAAATATTTAAAATGATATCAACCTATGCTGCAGAAATAAATATCAATGAAGAATAAAACTTGTGCTTTAAAATTAATAAGGTTAAAGAACTTGTCCTAAATGTCGAAATGCCAAGGGGGGGCATATTTCAAATTACAAAGTAATTGTCTGGCAATAAAGTAAAAAGAAAGTGACAGAGGTGAGATTTTCAAGGTCTACATCCAAATACTTGATCTTTTCAAAATGTTGGATTCTGATTATAGCTTTATCATCCAATGCTAGTGCATATCTCAGCCTGATGACCTTCATTCTTTTTCACTTTGGCCTGCAACTCCTTGATCTGCTGCTTCCACTTCAAGATGTCTGCAACGCAAGATTCAAATTCTTGTTCTTCTTGCTGAAGGGCCTTTTTTAGCTCCTCGATTTGGATCCTAGATTTTTTGGTCAAATCCCACTCCTACGATTGAACTTGCTATTTAGTTTGCATTTTGATCAATGCATCATTCTTTCTGGCAATGTCAATAATGATCTGGTTGAGAAAGGGCGTAAATTCCACCACAAAGCAGAGAATAGAAGGAGGATCAATAAGAAGGTCAACTTTTTTCATTAAGTCATTGATCCCATAACAAAACATGGAAATTTTCTCCAACATTTCAAAAAGATCTGCACTGAAAAGTTTGTCTTTAAGCCGGCGAAACACTTCCTCAAGAGGTTTGACAGAAGAAACTCCGCCAAAAACATTTGAGGAGCTTGAGCACTTATCAGTCGAAGTACATATGGAACTCATCATTATCTTTAGATACTCATAGGGTTTTGTTTTCTTGAGTGTTGTTCATTATTCTTGAAACAACATGGTTTCAGCTACAGATAGAGGCTAAATAGTCGAAGCAATATCAAGAGTGATGTGGCTCTCTAGTTTGTTCTTCAATGGGATGTATATTGCCTTGATAAACTTCTGAATTATCATCTTATTGGTGACCAACAAGAGATAGAGGTTGGTTTTTCTCTTCTTGATCAAGACGTTCGCTCCCAAGAGTGTAGTCTAGTTATTAACTGTTGGTGTTTGAAGGGGATGCATTTGACTTTGGAGAACGGGGATCACTTTGAATTTCAGAAGGTTGGCCATCCTCCTCAGTAAAATTGTTTATGAATTGCGAGGAACTTGTGGTTGCATGCATAGTAGTTTTTTTATTTGACAGAGCTTTCTCAGATATATTTTTCTGTTAGTTAAAGAAACGAATATTAGAAAATTTTCTTTCTTAACTAAATGATTTTTTGAAGAGATTAGTACTTGAAATTTACCAGCATCTGGACTAGAACTAGTACTCTCAAGTTTTCCAAAAGCTACTTTCACAACTGGTTGTGTTTCTTTGGTGTCGGTCTTTAGAATGATATGTTTCGACAACAAGAGAAACTTTTGGAGAGGAATCTACCTTAGGGCTGGGGGAAATTCGAGCTAACCTGATTTCTTCTTCTTAGGATATTTTGGTGAGAAATGCTAGCAGTGGCTTCAGGTCGGATGCTTTATATTTGGACGCCTTTTGTTTCTTTTGGAGAGTACCTCGAGGCTCCTGATTGACCTAAAACATGGAGAGAAAAAAGTTAGTGTAAAGAAGAGATATATAAGCTGTTAGAAATAAAAGCAATCTCAGATAGGGAATTGACCGGTCACCAATTCTACTAGTTTTAATTCATTTATTCGTCATGAATATGTGAAAATAGGTAACACTTTGGTTCTTTTGTCTATTTTTTTTTTTAAATATTTGACTTTTTCAAGTTTCCATTCTCGCAGTGTTTTTAATATAAGTTTATATCTTTTTGTTGCATTTTATGTGTTTTCTTGGTAGTGTTCTATATTGTCAGATTCAGGCAAAAGCCCCAATGGACTTGTGCGAAGAAAATAGGAGTTCTAGTATTGAGGAAAAGAATATTGGAGGCTACAGGGGTCCTGACACAGCCACCTGTGTCACCTGACACGGACCATGTAAGGAGAGGATG